GCTATAATAAAACATGCCCGCCAGCCTTCCTGTGCAATGTTGTATTTGTCTTCAATATAGCTTCACCTGTAAAAATAGCCAACTGCCTAGAAGAAAGTTGAACAACTGGTTTCTGACTGGAATTCCTCTGAATGTTTTAGCATTCATGCAAAGTCATGTGGGAGAAAAAAGGAAAAGTCAAAACCCCAAAACCTCATGTATCCTAGTTACAATCCTCCACTGTAATTATAAAATTGCCCTTAAAACATAATTGCATAATGGAGCTTGGCAAGTATTCACCCAAATCTTTTACAAATATTTCCACAGACTGAAGAAACAGGCGGTGGGCAGTCTGACAAGCCTGCCATGGGAATGCATGCCCTTAAGACATGTTCCTAGCTACTACACTAAATACTTTGCATCACAACCTCATGTTTCAAAACAGTAGTTGAACAAAAGTACCAGCATCTTTAAACAAACTGAGAGAAAGATTTTCAACCTATTTTCACTGCAGACATACTTGGAGCAGCAATACCTTTGAATAAAGGGACAGAGGAGGCTACCAATCCTTTTTGACTAGTTACATAGCAAGAATCCCAAATTAGATTAAATTGGTTGACTTCTGGTAGCTATAACCAAATAGAAGCTACAGACGCCTTGCCAGGATTACTTTACCAGCTTAGCAACCTGCAACTTAAAACACAATACAAAACCCCCTCAGCCTCAAATGCAAATACAGAAACATGTGGCATACAGGGAGAGGAGACCCAACAGAGGCCAGAAATGAAATCTGCAGTACAGTAAGGTTGTTTTTAACAGCTGTGCATTATGCATTCAGCAGCACAAGGAGTGCCAGCAGGGAGCCTTTATTAACATAGGCCTCAGAGTACAGTGAGCTGCTATCACGATTGGCCTTCCTAGAGAAAAGGCACACACACGATAGACTTAACCCTAGAGAGATCACTCAGATCCTGTTGCTATTTCATCAGCTCCACGAAACAACAAAAACCAGAGAAATTCCATGATGTTTCACAGACAAACATATAACACTTCCAACAATGTCTGAAATCTAATCTACAATAGAATGTTTCATCAGCAAGTTATGCCAGGTAGGAAAAGTGAGAAAAAATGCTGCACAAGCCCACACAACAGAGTCCCACTACCAATGCTGTTCTGCTACACAGACCTTGGATACAGGGGAGGACCATAAAATGCTCCTCTTGTAGAAGATGCTAATAAAAGCAAGCTGTTGTCAGGACACCTGTGTTCTCAGCAAAGCCGTCTGCACGTCTACTGCATGTATTTTAGGAGACCGTCAATCCAAAAAACAGCTGGAAGCCTTACTACAGATGCAGGAGCCCAGCGGGGTAACTCACTCCATTTGGGAAGATGGTATTGGCAGCAAAAATATTTTGCTGATGCCAGCTCTGCCTCCACTGTGAGACTTGCCTCTATCACAAAGACTTGCTAGTACACCCAGCTCAGCACTGGGCAGGCACCAGAAAGAAGGGAAATGCTCTCAGAATAGGCTCACCACCTCTCCTATATCAAGTGCTGATAGAAGCTCTCTACAGGTCTTGTCAACAGCTCTAAGCTGCAGATGGCTGCAGATCCTCGAAGTGTGGCCTGCCCTGGTGGGCAGCTCCTGCAGAACTGAGATGCAACAACTGAAGTAACAGATACAACTAGAGGCTTTAAAAAAAAAAAACCAAAACAAACAAAAAAGGCCACTTCAGTCCCTGTCCTTCCTCTGAACTGTGGAGAGAGGGCAATGAGAGGAAAAAGAATGGCATGAAATATCCTGACCATTCCTCTTCTGACTGCAGCCAAGAAAATGTCTCATGACAGGAAAGGAAAACAAAATACCAACCTGAAGAGCCTGAAAACTGCTTTAGATGACTGAATACCAGTGTGTGCCTAGGGTGAAGGAAATAGCTCTGTATAGTCTGCATTTATTCATACCTCCTTACTTTTTTGTCTTCTCATGTTAAGAAGTAAAATGCAAGAGTCGATATCCCTAACAACATGCAATAGCATCAGCAACAGCACTAGAAATTTCAAGGGGTTATTCAATACGCAGTATTCTGGTTCCCAAGAGCATAATATATGGCTTTTTAAGCCTAGCACATCTGTGCATTACCAATCCTTTTTCACTTAGATGCTGAATAGAAAGAGACAGGTAGTGTTTATTAAAGAAGTTTCCTGGAAGTACTTGCACTGCAGGATCAATACACTCTAGGTCAGATACCCCTAAAAGGTTTTTAATATGAGTGTTATGCACCTCTCATCACAATAGCAGCAAATGCTTTAAAAATCAAAATACCATTGACTGTAATATCATCACTTGATAAAAATACTCCTTTATCACTCTTCAAGCACATAAAAACCCCAAAACTGAGTCACAGGGAGAATAAGTAGTTAGCTCTTTTCATTGCTGGCAGACAGAGACTTGGTCTCTCAGTTACTCCCAGCCAGCCCGCTGCCCAGAACACAAGACTGTCTTTTCTCCACTATTCATGATTAATACAGCCTTCCCTTCCTTTGAGGCTCAGTTATACCTATGTCAGAGACAGGTAATTGTCAAGCACAGCTCAGTGTGAGTACAGGAATTTACCTATCAAAGGCACCAAAAGACACCTGTTGTTTCAGTGTAGGTGTTAGCAAACGGGATGACCAGGAACTGCCCACATCCAGAAAATACTCACTTCCCCCACCAGATAGATACATAGGTCATTTGCAGCTCTATTCTAATGCTTGAAGCACAAGATTTTAGACAAAGGCAGTACCTCTCCGTAATTTTATCATAGCCCAACTCTTGAGATCTCCTAGAGTTCGGTCGCTAATAGCCAGAGCAAGACAACGCATGTGAGAGAGAGTTAATATTGAAAGCATAGATCTGACCTAGAGGGCAAGCCATGCAGAGTACAAACCTCTGAGAATCTGCACACTCTCCTCGCCTACTATTCATCCACCAATTACACACCAATGTAATTAAATCAGGAAAGCTACGTTTAATTTTCCTATCATCACCCGATAAGAGCAGTACGTATGGGAGAGATCAGGCACAGGGGAAAGAGCTATTTATTAAGAAGATAAATCCTTTTAGATTTAAGAGCCTCTCTGGCTAAGAAGGGTCTGATCCACTAACAGAACTTCCGTGTTTAATGCAGACAAATCAGACACCCCATCTCCATTTCTGTCCCTGGCTTGGTCCTCAAGTCTCTTATTTAGAAACAAGTCCCACTGAAAATTGATAGCCATAACTTAAAACAGAAATACAGCTTTTGTTTAAACCCTGGGTTTACTCTACAGGTTTAAAACTGAAGAACACTCATCTCCCAGTCATTATATTGACAAAGACAGCCACATTAATTTACGTTATCTCTAAACAGCCTAAGGCTCCCTGTTTTCATGAAAAGCAAGGCATTAGGGTGTATTTGCAGAAATACAAGGCACACTTCAGCCATTCTTCCCTCCTGTACTGCCTTCTCCCACATAGTCAGGGAGAAATGCTGTGGTCCCTGTCCCCTGCAAACACTATTAATGCTTAAACAGGACCATATAAAGCTTTCTCTATCTGCTAGCTACACACCCATAACTGCTGCTCTGTTTTCTCTCCACTCCTCCTTGCTTCATCCCATCCAGCCCTGCTTTCTCAGCTGCGATTTAAAAATGTATCAGATCATAATAGCAGATGACTTCCACAGTATCAGGTTTTCAATAATAAAAATCCTACAGGCTTTAATGCAACCACGGCTTCACCACATCTTTTTTTTTTTTTTTAACAGGAAGGGAAAAATATTTATAACAGCAACTATAAATATACATGCTACTGACTTTTCAATTTGTTGTCCTTGTTCTCAAGCTAAATTTAGTCTGCTATATCCTGTCCAGCCCTTAGTGAAAAAGTGATACTAAATCGTGCAGATCCCACAGCAGGCAATTATACTTATCTAGATACCTTACAAGACAACCAGTTGGACAGGTAGAGTCTCATTTAATGAGTGCAGATACGTTCATACGTTCATGGCTATAGAGGAAGTGGCCTATTATAATGATTATCCCCCAATACAGAAAATTATGATTATTGCAACAGGGCAGCTCTGCTCCTGAATGAGAACAGTGATGTAGGTCATTCAGTGTACACCTAGACCACACATTTGGTTTGCACCAAATACACTTCAAACACCTCTGAGCTACAAAGAACACTTCACTGGCCACACCTGCTGTTTACCCATGTTCTCATTTTACATGCAAAAATGTTTGAGACATTGATCCAAACTTGGATGGTTGATTTCAAGTTCCAACCTCTATGTTAAAGAACATCTCTTCATACCCTGAAGGCTCTCATTCCTGTGAGTGATTCCTTAGTCAAAACAAGGTAAATATTTATCAGGAACTGACTACTTAGAGAATCAGAGTTGTTAGTCATTCCACCGTTAATCTTGAGAAGCCTTAGTCATGCCAGAGCCCAGGTGATTTCTGCAAGGGCCAACACGTGTTTCACCCTGGTTTAAGGATCCCAGCCCGCAATCCAGTTTCACACAGATGAGGACTCCCCCGCCACAATCTGACTTACTCCACTCGCAGCAAGTTTTGCAACCTAAGCAAGAAATGCAGTTCAGAGGATGCTCCTATGCAAGCATCAATTGGTCTGATAACAAAAATAAGCGGTCCAGAAAAAAATACTTGATAGCTGGGGGAGAAAGCGGTAAAGGGTCGGGCTCGCTTTGCCTCCAGCCCCGCTGGCTCAGCGTGCTTCTCAGGCACCGGCCAGCTCTGCGACCCAGCCTCTCCTCTGTGCTTACAAATACATCGCTGCTAAAGATTAGGTGGGTAGGACAGGAAGGAAAAAAAAAAGAGTTTATTGGGGCTGAAACCCGCCCTGTGGCAGGGATCTCCAGCCCGGCGCGCCTGTGGCAGAGGGAACGGGTCCGTCGGTGCGGCGCCGCCGGGGGTCCCCGCCCGTGGTCCCCCGCCGGCACCTCCACCGCCCGCGCCCCGCCCGGTCCTTGCCCTACCCAGCATGGAGAAGATGAAGTCCTTCGCCGTGTGGATCTCCAGGGCTCGCTGGTCGTCGTACTCCCTCTGGTCGTGTTTGGTGAATTCCTGGATGAGTTTATTCAGTTCCTCCACCCTGGCTCCCGATCGGAAATCCAGCTCCGGGAAGGGAGGCTTGCTGGTGGTGCCGGCAGCCCCTGCCTTGCTGGCGAGCGGCGCCGCCATCTTCATGCAAAAAAAAAAAAAAAAAAAAAAAAAAAGGAGAGAAGGGAAAAATCCCGAAACCAAACAAACCCAAGGAGGGGTCTGTGGTTTGCAAGGCAGCAATGGCAGAATGCAAGGGCGCCGCAGCACAGCGGCCACCCGGAGCGAGGGAGCTGCCTGAGCGGAGCCGAGTGGGGCCCGGGAGGCGCGGAGCGGCGCTGGGCGCCGCGATCAACAAGCGGCCGCGCTGGCTGCGCCCCCGCCCGCCGCCGCGCTGGGGGCCGGGCCGGAGCGGCGCGAAGCGGAGCGGGGCCGCCTGCAGCTGCGGCCGGGGGCGCGGGGGGGCTCGCTGCTGTGGCGGCGTCACGGCGGGCGGGCGCTGAGGCTAGAGCCAGACCTCTGGCTTGGCATAAAATTCACCCTTTTTCTTTTTTTTTTTTTTTTAATTTATTTTTAAACTTCAGCAAAAGCCGTGTCCTGAAAGTGGATGAATAACCGGCTGGGAACTCTGCTCCTTCCGCGTGTTCCCCAGGCATTCTGTGTTTATTCCCTATTTGCCCCAAAAGGCAACCTGAGATTTCTGCATATATATATATATATACACGTACACACACAGAGTAATTTATCGTATGCCTTAGAAGCCATGACCAAGATCAAGTATCCTCACTGCTGCACCTAAAAGCAACCCTGCCTAGGAGCTCCTGAGACCTACACAGACAAAGGGTAGGAGGGGAGATGGGATCTCAGAAGACTTGCCTGAGGCTAGCCTGTGGCAAGGAGCTCAGACCTCTTACCTCCATCCATTCCCCCATCGTCAAGACTACATGCTTTTCTTCTGTATGTATTTTTAATGCCTTCCAACTTTTCAGTCTGGAGTGGTTTTCTCCCCTTAGCCTGATTTTCTGTGCCTTGTCCCATCATTGAACTTATATAGCACAATCCTTTATATACCTAAGTGCATTCACCAGAAGATCTGAGTGTCTTCCTGCCGAGGGAGTGTACAGGTAAGTTGTGTTAGTCTTCTACAGTGCATTTCAGATGCTATGGCACTGATGCAAACTGCTGGGTTATGAATTATCCTCACACGATTCTTGGGAGGAAACAAAGCTTTCAGCTCAGTCCCACACTACGCTAAAATGTGTCTACCAAAATTAGGCATGAGGCATTTGGAGAAAAAATAGGGAGGTGAAACAACTAAGCTCAGTGTGAAGAGCTTACAGGCTGGCTTCCCCAATCCATAGTAAACACAGATGCTGTGTTTAGACCTGAGCTCAGAGATGTGGCTTGGTTCCTCTGGACCACTAATCTTGATGAGAGATGGGAGTTCAGCACCTTCCACAGGAGGACCTTGTCTGAATTTGGACCCTGTAACAGAAACCACAGCCTGTTCAACAGAATACAGCTGATGCCTCTGGCTTTGTCCTCTAAGTACTTACACAGCTTTTGAGAGCACTGATATGCTCATTATCTAAGAAATGATGTCCCGAAGGTAAAGGTAGGAGTGCTGGTGTGTGTATGCACATGCCCTCTGCTGGGTACACAGGCCCTGTTGTGTTCAGACACTGCCCACAGCTGACTGACATGAGTGGACTTCATTCACCATCTAAGCCTTGGTGGTCAGCTGCATTGTCACATAAACCTCTGACTGGTACTATGTTTGACTTTGACCCAGCACCTTTCCTTCATCTCCCTCCCCAGCAAAGCCTACAAATAAAAACAATTAACTGATAGCATTGACATAATGCAGGATCTGACTTGCAGAAGAGCAATTAGCAGTGTGCAGTGCTGGTGGCCTGCCCCGCAGAATTATATCTGCTGTCTCAGCCCATGCTCTCCCGTGCTAATCTGCTGCAGTCGCTGCCTGTCTGAGCGCTCAGGACCTCTTACCTCTGTCAGGGTTTAAGAGCCTTGTTATTTCTCTGCAGTGTGTTTTTGTCTGGGGTGACAATCTCATACAGGCGGACAGCTCCCTCTTGTGCTAACACCTCTCCCGCAGAAGTTACAGTAGCTCCTGAACCCCAAACCTCCTCAAGACCTGTTTTGTCCTGTCCATCTCTGAATAACGGTAAGTCCTCTCTGTGCCTGCCATAACCATTTCTACTTGCATGGGTATCTGCTTCACTTGCACATGATGCCAACTGCTAGCAGCTATGGTGTATGCACCACTAGCACCACTTGACGAAGTAGCTGGACCTTTTCCTCAACCTGATCTTTTTCAAGCTGATGTTCACAGACATCATGGACTGGGTAGCTTTCTTTTCTAACTATATCTTATTTGCTGCGTCGTATTTCAATACTGGGACTTCCAGTGGTTTCTTCATGAGCATTTAGTCTCAGATTCTGTCTTTAGGTGGGTCTCCAAAAGGTCACACTGACTCTCTACCTACATCAATCACAGACTTACATTATTGTTTTTCCGCCTCTTCATTTAAAATGCTTAAATCCTATCCACTAACAGCTTCATAGCTACTTTTGCCTGAAGTCACTAAACACCTATTGGAAACATACAGAGCTTCAGAAACAGCTAATGCTAGAAGCAATGGAGATTTCAATTTGTCTTTTTTAATGGCACTTCTGCCTGAAGTTATAGTCACCTTCATATTTGCAGAAAGTTTCTGTTAGATCAGGGTGTTAACTGCTCCTTGCTTGCCTTGTTAACTGCTGCTTGCTTGTCTGGAGTTTGTTTTATTCCTGACACCATGCATTATTGAGAAATTGCTCAGAACCAAAGAATGTGCTTATTTTAGTTTCTGAATTCAGACCAACACTGTTCACCAAGAGCAACATCATGCAGTTTCGATTTTCTTCATGAGTCTTGGACATGTACTGCACCTCTGCCTCACACCAGTACTAAGAGACATTCTCCTTCATCAAAAGCAGTTGTACTTGCAAAAAAAAGCCTTTTTAACACCTTCTCTGGAAATCTTTGAATGGGCTTGAGACCCTCAGTGGCAAGTGGGATCTGCCGCCCTGTCATATGCTTGAAATTGCATCCACTTGCCCTTGAAATTGCAGCAGCTTGCAATTTTACCTCATCACATCAGTGCAATTTAAGATCTCTGAATAAATACAGAGTTAATTCAAGACTTATGTCAATCAAGCACTGGGGATTACTCGAGCAAATAAATGAGAATGAGATTGAAAGTGTGGTTGGCCAGGAGTTTTGCTACCAAATCTTTTTTGTTTCTGAAGTGTAACTCTGTGGAAGCATTGCAGCATCCTCAAAGCTCCTCCTGTAAACATTATCTGGGGACTAGGAGGAGTCTGTGGCCTCTGCCATACTGGGCCCAGGACTTACCTATGGGAACATTCACCTTATTTGGGATTGGGTTTGAGCACCTTGACTCCTAAACTGTTTCTCACCTGCACTAGAATATGTGCCCTCCCTCTCACATGCCCTCTTTCTTTCTCCCATGTGTTTTCTCTTTCCTTCAAAGCATTTTCCTCTTTTTCTCCTGCAGAACAGATATCTTCTTTTCTGTCCAGCACCACTTCCAGCATTTAGAAATAGAACAGGCCACAGAGAAATGAAGCAAAAGAGAAGAAATAACTGTTCTCACTTCTGTATCATGACCTAAGACCTCAGAATGCTTTTCACACTTGAATAGGCTGTCTCAAAAAAATATGGATAGCAAGCATTAACACCACCATCCTAGGACTGGCAAAACAGTTCTGCAGTATTTACGATGAGCAACTGGCCATGGATACAAAGGGAGGAAGACCAGGCAATCCAGGGCCTGATGCTCAGTGCATCTCATTTAGATGCTGCAGACTGGTAGGGGGAATTAATTAAAAATTGGAACAAGATCCAGAAATAAGATGGAGCCTCAGATACATCATCTTAGGGTATTTCACTGTAGCTGGTAATTAGAGTATGACGCAGAGTGAGCTAGTTTCATCCCTCATTTCATAGAAATTGTACCCAGATTTTCTGAGGCTAAAAGTAGACTCAAGAAACATCTTCCTTTTCTGTACTTGGCAGTGAAGCAGCTGTAGCTCAAAGCTTTGTGTGGCAAGGGGCTTCTCTAGGCACAAAATTACTTTCTGGAACTGCTCAATTTTTCCAATCTGGTGGCTGCAAATTCTGCTTCGTATTATTGCAGTACCTTCAAAGCTGTTCAAGGGTCCTTCATGCCTTGTGTTGCAGAAGCCTGGTCCTGGCCTATAGAACAGGCTGTCTGTGCAGGTGAGTTATGCAGAGCAGGGAAGTGAGCCACACAAACGGAGGGAGTCTCAGCAGCAGACCAAGGATCCTGCTGTGCCATCCTTCTTTCTCTCCTGCACTGGCTCTGCAGTCAGCTCTGCTCTTCCCACTGATACCTGAATCCCTGCCAAGATTTTCCTCCTTTCCCTTGTCTTCCCCCTGCACACTTTCTCTGTGTGGCCTTAATTCCCAGATCTTCCCAGGAGGGAGGAACACAGGGTAGCACCAAACCTAGTTTCACGTTTACCAGGACCTCACTTTCATTAAGCTGCCCCAGTGATATCCTTATGTACTTTAGCTCCTTCACTACACTTCAGGTCTTTCCCTCCACTAACAGTCCCTAGTCTGGCTCTGAAGTGAAGTTTTTGGGACTCCTGGAAACTACTGGAAGGTCACAGGATTCCATAATGTTACCAAAACACTCCTTGTGTTTCTCTGCATCAGGACTTCGCCTCATTCTGGTGCCAGAATCTTTGCCCCTATTTCATGCAACCCAAAAATGTCTACAAAACAGCAGCTACAGGTAGGCGTCTTCAGGCTTCACAAGGCTGGGATCAAAAAAGGCCATGTTTAGTGCAGACTCGGAGCAAAAAAGTGTCTTTTGGATGAAGTTTGGACTCATGATCTCCACTGGCTATTCAAGCTGCATGCTTCAGAGTGGCAAGACTTGGAGAAACTGTAGTGACCCCAACAGACCATTTGCAGACGAGGTCTGGAGCTGGCAAGGAATTGACCTCCTGCTCTGTACCTAGGGCTCCCCCTTGCCTTCAGCCATTTATAGAGAAAAGCCAGTCCCATTCTCATGCATGGACCCCATTAATTTCACCACCTGGAGCTGTCTCCACCTGAGGATATGAGTGGTACCAGCTACAAAATCTGCCAGCCAAATCAGCATGGATTATACTCAGCTCTGTGCCTCTCTAAACACCTAGTGTGTCCCAGATGTCTCCCAGAGACCATGAGAAGCTCTGCCTGCCCTGCCCCACAATTTCCACCTGCAAAGGATTATGACAGCTCAATAGTACCCAGCACACACCACGATCTTCAGACAGTTTTAAAAAGGGGTGTGTTGCCTCCTTGACAGACTGAAACTTTTTCTCTAGATTAAAAAAACCTGCCTCCCCCTGTGAAGAGTTGTGATCTCCTACATCCTGTCAGCAGAACACAGCATCGAGCTGAGCCATCCACATGGGAGTGGAGCTCTGCTCATTAAAATCTTTTGAAACAATGGCATTTCATCTGTCGCAGCCAGCCTCAAAGTACCCACACTCAGGATGCTTATAACATTTTCTAAAAGAATAGCAGATGCTTAGTGCATATCCCAAGCTAGAAATATATCTAGCTTGTATATCCACCAGGGTTTTTGAAGTAAGGTTCTAAGAAGCAGACTCCTGATTCTCAGCCAGTTTCAGTCACTAACTAGTGAAAGACCCCAGCCAGATCATTTACCATTCTTGCCTCTGTGCCTTTTTGCCTTTTGGGTTTTTGTGTGTGTGAAAATATACTGGTCATCTGTTTATCTCGTTGTTAAGTGTAATTGGATTGCATACAGACACCTTTGAAGTTGATCTGATAAACTTCATAGTCTGTAAATGTGTTGGCCTGGGACCTCTGTAAGCAATGTTTGGAGGTATTTCTGCTGCTCATTTCCTGGGCTTATGTGAATTTTCTGTCATTAGTTTTATTTTTAAATTGGAATTATCTCAAGTAATAAAATTTGGATTCAGATCTGAGCACTGC